AGAAGTCCAGTTGCCATGACTCAACCTCCAGACAATTCCACCTGGATGACTGAGAGTCTTCATAAACATATGGGACATTATTATTATAGTCCTGGTTGATTGGAAAAAGGAGCAGGTAAATTCAAATTCAAGGTGTCTGGTAATGATCAGGAGAATGCCAGAAACGGCATCAAATTTACTATGGAAAAGAAATGCCAGTCTGAGAGCATCCTTTTTTTTTTTTGGTCTGATCTGACCCCAAAAAAGGAGTTCCTGGGCTAGTTCTGTGGCAAAGAGAAGCAAGAATATTTTTCAGGCATCAAGATATCCAGTTACTATCTGTGTTTCTGGTTTTCAAATATTGTAATGGTCCTGAGTAAAAATGGCTTCCCTGCTGTAGGGTAGTGTATAATGCAGTGCAGAAAGCTGCTAAAAAGTTTTCTGGTTTGATGCTTATTGTATCTTTTGAACCTGAAATGGCTCCATTTTTGGTTTCCCCAAACCAGATTTTGTAACCACTGTGCAACCCATGCATAAACTCAAAATGGTGTCCAGTATGTAGTTAGCCACAAACATTTGTTGAAATGTAGCATACAGAAGGAGATATGATGGTGATAGATGTTCATGAACCTACCCTTTTGGCTTAATTGTTACACATACATAGGCTATGAGGTGGAATATACCATGATACTTTACAAACCATTGTGTAATGGGTGTCTAAATGCACAGCTGATTCAATTCAATTGCATTGATTGATTTCAATTGCATCTTTCCCTATTCCATTGCTTTCACTGAAATGCACATTTGGATTTATATCTAAATATACATTCCTAGTCCATTGTAACATTTACATTTGGCTTTGAATACATATCCTGACTTTGCAAGTAATTAGGTATGGATTTCTTTAGTTCGGATTGGCAAGGAAATTGTGGAGAAATGGTAATGAAAACCTTCTCTTTGTCATGCTCTTGTTCCTTTTAAAAGAAAAAAGAAAAATAAAGGATACAAAATGTATATAGTGCATTTCTAGATATTGTGCAGTAAAGCTTAACAAAGAGGTATTGCTCCTAATTATATTCATAATCTGCAAGGCTAACATTAAACCTGCTGTGTATAGTGAATGGAAAATGATTAGTTCAAAGCATAATTCTGCCATGGAGAAAGAAATACAGTAAGATGAATACTGGGTACAAGGATTGCAGTCAGCTGGCAGCTGAAAATAAGTTAGCAGTGTGAGGTAGCTGCAAATAAGACTAATATAATTTTTATGGTGCATTAATACAGCCATAGTGCCCAAATCATGAAAAATATTAATTCCACTTCATTCTGCAGTACAGTAGTCAGATCTCATCTGAGATACTGCATCCAGTTCCTGACACTATCTTTTCAAGAAGATGTAGAGAAATTGGAAAAAGTTCATAGTTCATTAAAAACTATTAACAATATAGAGAAGAGGTTGTATGAATTATTGCAAGAACTTATTATATTTAGCACATGAAAGAAAATAAAGGGGGCAATATATGATAGTTGAGGGGTTCTCACAAAAAGGACAGACTTATTTTCTATACAGCCACTGATGGGCAACCACTAAAATTAATATTTTAAACAGTAAATATTCTCTACAAAAATAAATTACAATAATTGCCTTCATAGTTGTCATATTTATAATTTTAATACAATTTTTACTATGACTAGGATGTACATACTACCTTTGAGGTTAATTTTCTTACATGGTCTGCTGTACAATTGAAAAAATAAATAAATAGTCTGTACATAAGCAGGTACTGTTAAATACAAGCTTAATTGTTTTCTTAATATATTAACTTACATCTGGCAATAATTTCATTATGAGAGGGAGGCAATGGAACAACACATTTTCAATCCTTTCCAAACTTAGGAAAATTCTGAGGCTCTGGCTACACTTGCATCACACACTGAACCACAAACTAGCTATCTGAATTTGAGTTGGGTGTGTTGGGTGAGCCCAAGTCCTGTGGTTTAGTTTGTGATTCAGGGCTCACCCACATGTCCCCCTAACTGCAATTCAAAGTTGCCTCACAAGTCATTCTTCAAAGACATGTCTTGATGACACTGTCTTCAACTCATCCCCAGCCCATAGCAGAGGCCCTCTAATCTTCAGTTTAGTTGATCTAATGTATAAGTGAAGTTTTCTATCTTCTCCCAGTGTAAATCTTGTTGTATATACAATTTTTGGCACTTTGGCAGCAATAGCAGTGATGATAGAATCAGGAGTTGGGCCCCTATTGACTGCTTCTGATGGCATGTCTGCTGTCCTCTCCAGTAATGGGCACTGTCCGACATGGCCATTCTGATTATGCTGCTGAACTGACATGACACTTAGCTTCTGCCTGGCACTTTGCAAAGCATAAATCAGGTCTTATGCCAGACCCATATTGACATGTGTTTATCGCCCTTGTGAAACAGCACTAGACTTCTTTCAAGGCACATGTTCAGCTTTCTTGTGAGAGTATGCTAAACCTTTCCTTTATAAACAAAAAGCATTCTCAAGATTTCTTTAAAAACCATAGCAGCTCTCTGCGCAGAAGATCAACTTCGGTAGGAAAGGTAATGTTTATAGCAGTACAGGTTTACTATTGCTGTTGTCAGTGAGGGGGCATGGTTTTTATTATTTTTAATTTGTTAGGGGGAATGCAATTTTGACTATTCCACAGATTCATTTATCACTTATTTGTCTGAACCTTCTCACTCCAGCTTTGATGACACCACCATTCAGAAATCCTAGTTGCTCTCAATCATTGCCAGCACCACAACATTCTGGAATCACTACTTAGGAATAGGAATGTCATCCTCTCTTGCAGCAGCAAGATTACTATAAGGATTAACAGCAAGATCGCTCTCCACCACTATGTTGTGTTCAGCCAGAACAACTATGGACATTGATCTTTGTAGTGATCAGTGTTTGATGTTGTATGATTGTATGGGATTTTATGATGTTAATTTCTGTGGGAGAACTTTGTCCTTAAAGGTAATCTATAAATATGTTAAATCATAATGTCCTAACATAAACCCAGATTTTGAAGAGAGTTTTGGGAAGAACCGCTTACAGAATTGGGTTCAAATAGAGAAGCTTGATCTCCAGAGTGCTGGAAATTTGTCATAATCTCTGCAGAGTTTGCAGAACCCAGAAGAGTCATCTGGATATATTTTGCCTTCAGTTCATTATCATTCCACAGGGCCAGAAGTACATGTTAAAACTGTCCTGGTACTTCATCTGCATGGAAAGGTAAGATATCAAAAAAATCTATTAACCTGTTTCCTATTGTGCTTGTTGGTCTTCGAATCAGTTTTAGAATCAAAGGTGTCTACAAGATTGAAGGCTTTCATACAGATAACAAAGCAGAGTTGTACTGTCAAAATGCAAGATCCCCTGCTTTCATATGTGCATGTGATGTCATGACATATATGTACAGAAGGGATGGGGCTTAGGTACTGACATTGCTTTCATCATCCCCACTACCTCAATGGATGCCTCTGCAGGATTATGCCATGCCTTATATACTCTAGAGTTTCTAGAGTGACATGTTTGCTGCTCCCAAATCAGATCTTTATGGAATCCCATGCCTTCATCTCTTGGTCAGCTGAGCCAATTTATTTTATTTCTGGTTTAGTTGCACTATAACAGGAATCTCTCTGGGTCCAATTTTCAAGTAGAAGCACTAAAGCTTTATGGTGCTTCAGGATGGGCTACTTTCCCATTGGAGGTAACCCTTACCTCATCCCACCTATCACCTCCTGTGCTGCTCCCATTCCCAGCAGCGGTATTGTCATGCCAAGATGAGTGTCTCATAACTGCTTTTCAGCTGATGAAAACTGATGAATACCATCTTGGAAGTTTGGCATCTCCCCCTCGTTGCAAAAGTTCATATTGTTTTCCAGGCTACAAATACTTCCCACAAGAGTATGTTTAGGGAAAGAAGTAGGACATAGGTTGGGTGCCAGTTTTGACATTCTCCCATTGATTGTGTGGAGAGTGCACTGAATGGTTGATGGAGTGAAATTGGCAGCAGAAAGGATGCCTGGTGGGTCAGTTTTAAACAGTCTGAGAGGGCTCAGAAAGTATGAAAGGGATAAATTATATTCCTAAAGAGTTGGAAAATGTGTCAGGCCTTCTTTTGCTGGCCGCTTTTGCCAAAAGCTTTAAATTTGCTTCCACTGCTAAGCAGAGATTTCCCTCCAACATACTGCTAATACGATAGCCTATTGCTTTAGTTACTAATTTTCAATGTTTATTTTTTTTCAGGGATGGAAGCACTGCCTCATCTCTTTCTTTTTGCAGAAGTATATTCTTCAGTGCCTCATGACTACCCAAACAGAGAAATTGGCGTGGCCTGTCATTTTATGTTACCTGGGTCTCAGGCAAAAAAAAATCGATTTCACACCCTCTTCACCACCAGATATCATTCCTACCTCCAAAATGTCATTTGCCAAGAAAGGTGAGATCACAGGTAAACACAGCAAGCACAATCATTTGATGAATGCAAAATAAGATATACTGTATGGACACAACATGGTAAGCCAAAATCAAAGTCAATTATTAGTGTGATGTGTGACCCCAAGCTTTATCTGTAATTAGTGTCCTTTCCTTTGTTTCTAACTTTAAACTCAAGGTGAGATAATGTTCCAGGAACCGAAATGCTGCCGCCCCCTCTCCTTGTTCTACATCAGATGCCTTTCTCTCAAAAACCCTTTGACTATCAAGATGGGCTTGTTGAATGCAGGACTTGAATCAGCCCAGTGGGTTAGTGAAATGCATCGCTTGGTCCTTTGAATCCTGGCTAAGAACCACAGCGAATGTGTTAGTTCTTGCAATAAGATCACACATAGGTGTAAGTATAAAGAAAAAAGGATTCTTTGTCTAGAGGAGGGGTTTCCTATTTCAGTCTCCTTACAGACTTCTATTAAAGAGAGGATAAATGTGTGTAGCTTATTATACTTCCCTCGAAGGCAACAATTTAGCAAGCTAATTGGTGAAACCCAACCCAAAGGTACCTACAATTAACATGTACAATAACATGAAAAAACTTCAGCCCAAGTATTTTAAAAACTCCAGAGTGTTTAAGAGGAAAGTTAATAATGTGCCTGAAGGGCTGTTAGTTAATTTGTGCAGTCTTACACTTTTCCAAGTACTGTTCATAATAATCACAATATTCATTTTAGGCTTTGTGGTGTTTCCCATACAATCAAAGCCAGCCTTTGCACATCATTGCCATTTAGCTTTTTTAAATATTTTTTTCCCAACGTCGTTTTTTTAACTTCAGTCAAAGATCCTAGGTTTTTATGGCAGGACAGGACAATTGGAAAACCGCTGTTCAACTGCTATCGAAAGTCTTCAAAGCCTAAATCCTAACACCCAAGGCCTTGAATGAAACAATATTTAGATATAATTAATACAGCTTGTGCAATAGTTTTGTTGTTCTAAAATATATTATACAAAATGTAGTTAAAAGCCTTTGCATTAAAAAAAAAAAAAAAGCACCTCTTGCAATGTAGAGTTTTGGATCCAAAAGTAGAAAGATCTGTTCCAGGTATACCTCAGGGCTTGAGTATATCAAGAGATGTATGTTTTGCCTGGAGAGTAAACCAGTCTTTTCATGTCATAGATGTATTTATAATGCATCTTGGGAGCCCAAAATTGCTTTTTAAATTATTTGTGTCTTAGTAGCAGATCACATCACAGGGAATGGTTCTCAGTTTGAAGAGCTGTTCAGTTACGGTTTTGCCCACTTGCCTACAGCCCTCAAATTACAAAGGGGTTGTTATGCATACAAGCATATACACCGGATGGATGGATGGATGGATGGATGGATGGATGGATAGATAGATAGATAGATAGATAGATAGATAGATAGATAGATAGATAGATAGATAGATAGATAGATAGAACGCACACACACACACACACAAATACATACACACATATACATATACACCAGACAAACAGATGGATTGTGGAAGTTTACAAAAGAAGAAAACTCTTGTCTTGTGTTGATTTTATTTTATGGAGGGTGCACTGGTTTGCAGGGTCAGCTTCTCACTGACTTTCCGCTTCTTATTCAAAGGAGTTTCTTTGCAATAGGTTTGTTATGGAGACACTTCTCAGCTTGTTCAGCTAGCAAAGGAAGCGATCTGAGGAAGGAGGGCAGGGGCTGTGAATTGGATCTAAGGCTTGGTGGGATATTCAAAGGAAATATGGTAAGGCACATTCATATCCCACATTTTAAGATGCACTTCCTACAAGAGCTACTTATTTGTAAAGGGGGGAAAAAAAAACCTTTGGGGATCTTCCCCACCAAGCAAATCCAGCTATAGCAGATTACTGCATTTCCCCTCTGCCCTTAAGGATCCATTTGATGGTCATGTCTGGGAAAGGAAAGTGGAAATCTGAAATGCCAATGCTTTATTTAGAATATGATGAGATAATGCAGAAAAAGAAACAGGATTCCTATACTTGTAATAGTTTTATTGAAGTTGGGCTTTCTTTCATATAAGCATTTGAATGTAATTGTTGATGATGCTATTTAATTATATAGCAGAGAAAAACTACAGTACTCTTTCTGTAAGTTGTTGGCTTGTCTTTAAACCTGAAGGGCAGATTCCTAAGCATCCCAGGAGACCTTTTATCATTAATTAGAAGATGAATATTCAAGCTTTGAGACACAAGGTGGCACCACTTCTACACCTTTGATTATTAAATTTCATGGTAAATTGTGAAAGTCAATTCATATAGTATGCTCTATACTATACCTTGGTTTTGCTTACTGACATATAAACCAGTAAATGTCTACTAGGTAATTAAGATCATTTCAGCATCAAAGAAATGAAATTTAAGCATCATATATGTTCTTAACTATCTCAAAGTTTACTGGTTTCATTTATTTGCTATTTGTGAGACAAATAAACTATGTTATATGTGTTATATATTTGCACTGTGTTATATGAAAGAACTGGAATGCATCCTTTGTTCATTTTAAATAACTTTTTTTGAATGAACTGGCTTCAATTAAATTAGTAAAGATCAGCATAAATACATTTGTCTCTTCTCCAGGATAAAAAATTTCATGCCATTTTAGGAGACATTGTTGTGGGCCTCTTCAACCCATGGTAGCTTTTTTCCTACCTTCTATTCAAAGTAATTGGTTTGTACATCCGCTATTTAAGAAAAAGATATTAGACATTTATTATATTTGCTATGTGAGTGTAATTTACTACTCCAGAATTGTTTATTGAATACGGAAGTTGTCTATGCTAGATGATGAGACATACTTCCTATGAATTCTGTGTTGCCGCTTACTGGATTTTAACTATGTTTTTCCCCCAAGATCCTGACAAAGAGTAAAGTTCCTTTCTGGCTTGTCTCTTTCATAAAGCCATTTAAGCTTTATGTTAGCTCCAACTTATACTAAGCCATGATTTTAAATCATGATTTGTAGAATAAACCACAATGATCCAGTTCAGATATTAACCCATAAATCATGGTTTACAAACTGCAGTGGCTTTTATTCAGGCTAGGACAAAAACTAGCTATGTAATGGCTTACAGCGTTATGTGATACCCAGTCAGAATGTTGTGTTTGAATTGCACTTTGCCACAGAATTAGTTAGCCATCAAGCTGTCAAGTGTCAATATCTGGTTTATGCTATTTTCTTTGGGGGTGTCCACAAGTCAGAAAAGTCAGATGGCAGCCACAACCATGTGATCAAATCCCTGTCCTTTTTTAGGTGCATCATCTCCTGGTTCAGCTAGTTTCACTACTGAATGTTTTATTTATTTGTAAAATGAGTTCTAAATTACATCTATCAGGAATGCCCAAACGTAAATAATTTCTTATAGCTAGGTAAGGAAGCAGGAGGCAAATTCTTTGCAAATTTAGTTACATGCTTTTAGTTTATTTTCATAACCAGGACTCTGACACTAGTTTGGCTGGCTTTGATAGCAAGTCATAATTGCTGGTTTTGAAGGTCTTTGGTTGGATATTACACCTAATTTTGGAGAAATATTTGGTACTTAGACCATGCATTTTTCTGGAGATTAGGTGGTGAGAGCCTTGGGCATTGCAAGAGGCATGTCAGAACAGTCCAACAGTTTCTTGCCTATTTTTTATTCACTGTTCTCATATCCTTTGAGTACTGGAAGGCAAACTTGACTAGGAACTTACCACAACCAAGGGTTGCAAGCACACTCCTAGATGGTGCTGTCTGATTTAAAATTTTTAATTTAAAAATATAAAATTTAAAAAGTCACAGTCTTGAGTGATAGGTGAAATGTGAAATTTTGCCATTTTTAAAAAAAATTTTTTTTTAAAAAATGAAAAAGTTGTGAAAACCCCTTCATTAGCTGTAAAGTAAATTGCTGGGTTTGGGTTTAGCATATTCTGCAAATCCAGCCAGTGTGGTGTGCAAACCTCAGTTTACTCCTTGCAAATTTAGCCAGTTGTGGTTTATTCAGTCAACAATGGTTAAACAAACCATAGCCTAGTACAGTGTGCAAGTCAACTCTTATTATAACCAGGGTTCAAAAACTGGCTTTTTAAATTATTGTATTCTTTCAAGTACATATTTCAGCTGCAAACTCAGACAGGTGCCTGAGATCTTGAGTATGCAATTAAGCAGAGATTTTAGGACAGAAACTATCAATAACTAAACCTTGGCACTTTTGGAACTGTGCAGCAGTCAGATCCTGAATCTACACAGCAGTATTTGGCCTACTGTAAAGTACACGAGTTTTCAGAAAAATTGTGTTGGCCCCCTGAAGAATTTTTTATGGAGACCTAGGTGAAAAGTGACTAAACTATTAAGGGTTAGCTCCTAACATCTCTATGGATATAGATTAAGAAAGATAACATCAGACACCTTGCATATTCTTTTCCCTTAATATTGTTCCTGTGGCTCTACTTTAAAAGACACTTGAAAGTCAGGCAAAACTAGGGCCACGCCCCATAGTGAAAGTTGTCAGACTGTTTTTCAGTTAGCTGAGGCTGCTATATAAGCAGCCTTGCCCAACATACCAGTACTATGACTTACTTATACGCAAAAAATACAGATTTTCTGACCACCAGCAACAGTGACAAATATTACCCATCATTGTCCAGTTGTACTTAAAAAAAAATACTTGTGTTCAGAGATTGCAGGGCACTTCCACGTAAGGATTCTGCAACAGCTTGAAAACAGCTCTGATGTCAGTGGTACTGAAGATATTAATGGACTTATTTCTGGTTCAGTATAGTTGAGGTAGATTTTGTTTTGCGAGGCTGTGACTCTGTTTCCCCAGTGGTAGGAATCCTACCTCACCTCTTCCCCTGGTGTCTGAGCTTGAGGTTCAATAAGGAAAGTGCTAGCTGGATGGCCTTGCTGTTCCTCCTTGGTGGCCAAGAGGAAGTGAGGAGGGATAAAATTGATAAGAATATTATCCAGGTCCTTCCACTGGTGAGTTTCTATTCAGCAATCACTCCAAAGTGTCTTGAAGTCAGCTATGCAATTGCCTTCCCTCCCAGCAACCTGACAAGGTTGGGAGCAGGTAGGAAACCCCATGAGCTAAAAAGTATTTTCTGCACTCCATAAAAGTGTACAAAAATTCCATCACTATTCTGTTCTTCCAAGTCCAGGCAATGGGAGGCAGGGTGAAACAAAAATTCCTGTGGATGAAAAAGAAAAAAAAAAAGCCAGCACCACAAAATGGAAGTTTTGCCAGTTCAGCTACGGCACAACTAAGCTAGAAGAAAATTACCTTGGCTGCCTATGAAAGACAGTATAGGAATACAGTGGAGCAGTGCTCATGCCAGGTGGATACAAACATCAAGTATAATAGGGCTATCAGTTTCTCTGTTCCCTTCAGTTAGGAACCTGCCAGCATGTGAAGCTCCAAACACCACCAGGCAATCCTTTTTTCTTTGTTCCTTTTGTGTGAAGAGGGGAGAGTTTGGTTGCTGCTCCTCTTACACGCTAATTCCATTAGCTAAGATGTACTTTCTGCAATTTCACCCATCCCTGAGTTGGCAGAAAACTATACTAGCATGAAATTTTCTGACCCCATTGCTGATTCCTGTTCTAATATCTTTGTTCCTGTTCCTAAGAGTCCCTTCTCCTAAGGCAATAGGAGACAAAGCCTAGCAAGATTTTAGATATGTGGAGGGTGCCCTTAAATACCTGAATAAGGGGAGGGAAACTGCTTTAATAGCAGTATAGTTAAGGATGGCTTAAATCCCCACTCACAGGCTAGGTTCAAGATGAAGGCAACGTCACAGGGATGGAACAGACAAAAGATGTCAGCGGGCCATACACTGTATTTATGCCATGCCTAGAGGCAAGTAGGAAAAGACCCTAAATTACTTCTTCAAAATACAGGCTAAAGTGTCTTCACTAAATAGGAATTCTCAATCAGCTTTAGTAAAAAAAAAAAAAGTCATCTTACCACCAACTCAAAGTCTGACAGGAGAGACTAAGTTCCCTTTGTTAGAGAGTTCTGGCGGGTCCCAGGAACAGAGTCTTTTCTATTGTGGCACCCATCCTTTGGAACATCATTCCCCTGATTCTGCTGCCCAGAACTTGAAAGGTCTTGAAAACCTGGTTTTGTTACTGAGCCTGGGTCCCTGGGTGTGTGATTGAGCCTGTATTATGGCTGTGTTCATTGTTACGTTGGTTGGCCTTTTATCTCCGCTGCAGTTTATATTATTTATTGGTTTATGTTTTTAACTTGTTTTCAATTGTTGTTAGCCACCCAGAGTTGTGTATTTGTGAAAGACAGCTGTATAAACTGAATGAATAAATATTCCAGACAAGGGTAGTGTGGTTGAAAAGACATGGTGTCCAACCCAGGCAACCAGCTACACCAAAGATTTCTAACAGTGTTTTGCATTGTACCAACAGCAGGCTTATTTTTAATTGGTTTCATGTGCTCAGTGCATTAGTCATCAAAGTTTTGGTAGGCAAGCGGATGGATATTTCTGTTCTGATTTAAAAGCACAATGCTCTGTTTCCACTGAGCAAGGCAATCTAGAAATTTCTGTGAGTGATGATGATGGAGCTAAGAATAGGATGTCATCCATATAAACAACCAAACAGCTCTTCTGGAATGTTAAAAACTCCTGTAGCTAGAAGCTGGAAACACTATAGCAATTAATGTACATAAGTGAGTTGCTTTAAAAGCATATGTTCAGAATCAGGTTGTAAAGATCCAAGTTTTAAGTTTGAAAATTG